AGGTGAACGGGAAGAACGCGCACCCCCTCTTCACCTTCCTGAAAGAGGCGCTGCCCTTCCCGCACGACGACCCCTCCTCGCTGATGACCAACCCGCAGTACATCATCTGGTCCCCGGTCTGCCGCAACGACATCTCCTGGAACTTCGAGAAGTTCCTCATCGGCCCCGATGGTGTGCCCTTCAAACGCTACAGCCGCCATTTCGAAACCATCAAGATCCAGGATGATATTGAATTGCTTCTGCAGAAGGTTCCCAAGAATGTTCTGGAATAAGGCGGAGCCAAAAATTCCTGCCCGGCCCCCTCGCTTCCTGCTGCGCTCCTGCCTCTTCTTCTCGCAGGGGGCTGCTGCTCCAGCAGAAATCCCAATGTCTCGTGCAGGTTTTGTTTGTGATGGTGCATCTTCCAAATTCTTGAAGTGTACTTGATGTTTTCAAAAGTTGCATGTGAATGTTTGGGAAATTATGCTGGGGAATGCAGCCGTGAGTCTCAGTAACTTACTGTGATTCTCTGAATAAAAAATAAAGTCTACTTTCTTTAAGAGTGTGGCTTGATAAATCTGGGTGAGTTGGGGTGAAACATGGCATCCGCGTTACCCGTTCCTCAGCTGGCCTGGGTGCTCGCAGGGGCAGACTCAAACCCCTCGAGCGTGCTGGTGCAGTCAGGCTGAAATCTGAACGCAAACCGAGGGCAGCGTGATGGGCGAACAGCGTTTGTGAGCTCTGCAAACTGAATCAGAGCTGTGCCCTACCCTGTGTGTAACCAGCTTGGCAGAGCAGGAGGGTGGCACAGAACAGAAATACCTTGCGAAACTGCTTAGTGCACCTCACTCAAGGCTTGCCTGCAGAGGAAAGACATGATGGTACACGGCCAGGGTGTGATTTTTACACTGCCTGACGAACTCCCAGCTTGGCTACCAACAGGCTGCGACAGGTTAATAACCGTTCAGGCAGGTAGGTGAGTGATCCACAGCCTGTGCTGCTGGGGCTGTGCTGGCAGAGGGCTTGGGGAAGAAGAGCCCCTTGGCCAATGCCCATCATGTCATTTGGCCTCTGTCAGCGGATTCCTGGGGGGACCTGGAGCAGGAGCAGCACCCGCTGTCCCTCCCCTTGTCCCAGAGCCACTGGCCCCTCGCTGGCTCAGCTGTCTGCTGGCTGTCTCCTGTTTGCATCGGTGGGAGCTGCATACGGATCTCTACTCGCCCAGTCCTACATGAAACCCTTATCGCCTTTGTGCAGCCCCAACGCCTTGCAACACAGGGAATCGCACAAAGAACCAGTTCTTTCGTGTTCCCAGTGCAGAATACCAGCATATGCAACCACTTCTCCCACAGAAACTGTGCCTTGCCTCACAGTGTCCTTGTTGCCCTTTGGGCACAGGAATTGTGTGTGACAAAGTGCGGGTGTGCCAGGGTTCAGGCACATTTTTCTTATTTTTATTCCTTTCCTAGCAGTTTTTTGACTCCTGCCAGGCCTGGAGCTGACAGGTATCTCAGCGGGTCTTCACAATAAGCCTGACATGTTCCTGCACAGCGATCCCTGGTTTACAGCCTGTTGCTGAATGGCTGGAATTAGCAATGTTTCACCTGGGAAATGACAACCCTGTGCCAAATTTCACCTGCCATCTTGCCACCCAGTCCCTCAGGTCCTTCTGCAGGTAAGTTTTCATTCCTTAAATGGCTCTGTGAACAGTTTCATTACAAGCCACTGCCTCACAGCACTGAGTATAAACTTGGTGCTAGACTGAGGAGTACAAACACTGATGAGAACCTCAGAGGCATGACACTTGCAAGCATTAGGGCACTGTTTTCATAATGAAAAGTACTTGGGATTTGAGGTTTTGGGGGTATTTTTTTCCTGTTTGTAGCTTCTCACCTCACCAGTTCGCTGGTTGCTTTGTTACTGTACCTACATTCAAGGCCTTCTCAGGGCTGACTTGAGACACTGAGGCAAAACCTACAGCCGGCTCCACCCTGCTGGCTGCTACCCCTGAGTCATCCAGCTTTGCACTCAGATTGCACAATCCTCAGTGGGCTGTTTCTTAACTTCCAGTACAGCTTTGTGGAAAAAACAGGATGTTTTCAGTAGCTATTTCAGCTTTGGAGCAGAAGCTGCTTGATTTGGGGGATTATTTTTTTTCAGTTAAATCTACTTCCCTCATTAATGCAGGATGTTGAAATAGGTGGAGAGTCCAGAGGATCATGGGCAGCAGGAACTCACTGCATTGAAAAACCATTCTCGACATGAGCTGTGGCACTTCCTCAGCCCTGACTCACCAAACTCAATGGCTCAAACAGCCATCTGAGCCGGACCTCCTTGGCTTCGCCTGTTCCTTATCAGCCCCCAGCTCCTGCTGAGCCCCACCACCGCAGGGGAACAGCCCCCAAACCTGCTGCTGTTCCAATGGCAGCCCTGCCAAAAAGGGTCTTTTGCCAGCCCGCGGGTCAGAAAGGCATCTTCCATCGTGCTTACTCAGTGCTAATGGCCAAGGGATTTATTTACCTTCCGGCTGTGCTAGCAGTAAAACAAAGCAGCAGCTCCAGGACAGATAGAGTCATGCCAGCAGAAGTACAATGACGTGATCCCAGGATGAAAATTAGCCATGCCAGCAGGAAAACGACTGATCCCAGTGTAAGCACACCGGCAGGAACTCTGCAGCGGAGATAAAAGCCTCCCAGCCTCGTTATTCCCGTCTCATTTGAGCACTCCCCAGAGTAGCCGGCTCCTGGGGTAAAGCAGGCTGCGGTGGAGGGGAACCTGCGGGCGGGGAACCCGCGGCAGTGACACCTGCACAAGAGCACAACCCCCAAACGTTATTTGGTGTTGTGACAGCAGGGGATGAAGACGTTTGACTACAGCTCTATGCTGACTGCAGACCTGAAGACACACAGGTGATTCCTCAGGGATTATAAAATGGCCCAGTTCTATTTCTGTAATTCCAGAGAGAAACGGACTGACTCGGTAGGAAACCTGAAAATAAATACCATTGCTTTAGCACACTTGGATGCTTCTGTGGCTGGAGGACATTGTCCTTTCCACATCTCGTGTCTGTCACATCAACACTCCTACACTCTCTTTTTTTTCTACTTCTACACTTCTATTGCAAACGGCTCATCTCTCTGTAGGTGTTCACCCTGCTTGGCCATTCTTCTGCATATCAGAGTCCCATATATTCCCCCCTTTCTAGAGAATGTTTGCCAGCTGCTGATGGTTGCCATCAACTTCTTAAGTCTTTAAAAAAGTTCAGATATTTGTAGCTGTCAGGAGTGTTAACTAGCTGCAAGGAAAATCATCCTTCCCGCCCCTGTCTCCCCCGCCTGCATTCCCTAGTGTTCTGCCCACAAAACCTGAGCACATCTCCTGAAATCACGGCTGATGAGGTCTTCAGAAGTGTCTACTCAACAGAAATGGAAAAGCGGAGCCTAAGACCTTTCTTACTCAGCCTGTTAAATCACAGAGTGGTGGGGGCTGGAAGGGACCTCAGGAGATCATCCAGTCCAACCTACACCAGGTTGTACAGGAAAGTGTCCAGGTGGGTTTGAACATCTCCAGAGCTCGGCCCCATCCATTTGGCCCCCACATTTCAGATATTTATAGACATTGATCAGATCCCCTCTCAGTCTGCTCTTCTCCAGGCTGAACAGTCCCAGCTCTCTCAGCCTCTCCTCACACAGGAGATGCTCCAAGCCCCTCATCATCTTTGTGGCCTTCGCTGGACTCTCTCCAGAAGATCCCTGTCCCTCTTGAACTGAGAAGCCCAGAACTGGACACAACACTCCAGATGTGGCCTCACCAGGGAAGAAGGGGAGGAGAACCTCCCTCAACCTGCTGGCCACGCTCTTTTTAATGCACCCCAGGACACTGTTGGCCTTCCTGGCCACAGGGCACACTGCTGGCTACAGTGTTCTTTCAGCTATTTAAAATCCCTTTCTCCCCCTGCTGAGTTTTATTGTACCCACTAAATTTTAAGATAGCTTCCAGCCGCTCTTTTTGATCACTGCCATCGTAGGAAACACCTGCCTCCAACGGGGTGGCACTTGAAAGGGCTTTGTCCCTGTTGGTGCCACTCTGGCAGCAAGCAGCCGTCAGGTTCAGCTGGAGACAAGGGCAGGAAGCGGAGTGGCTGAAAGGAAAGCGCTTGAAGAGCCAGGAGAACAGAGACACTGCTATCTACAGTGAAACTAGTAATGTCACTTCCTAGGACTGAATCAGAAAGCTTTGAATGAGACTATTTTAATTGTTTATCGCACTTTCTATTAGGAGTAGGTAATTCATGAGCAGAATGAGGTCAGCCACATAAGCATTATCTCAGAATAGCTGACTCATTTTAAAAACACACCCAGTCTTGCCATAGCAGGGTGAATGACTTTCTGGAAGCCCAAAGGGGCCCCACCCTTTGAGAAAAACAGGAGTAAGTAACAGCACTTCACTCCTGGGGAAGGAGGAAGTTGTTTTCTTTTCCAGTGTTGCCCTGCTGTCAGAAGAACTCAAGGCCTTCAGCATTCTCCCCTGGGTTGCTGCAGCACTGGCAGCCCTGGCTGGCAGGAGGTAGAGCCCATCGGCCCCCCACGCTGTGGGGCTCCCCTGCACAGACAGTCACGGCCCCAGCACGTCACTCCTGCCTTTTTTTCCACGAGGCAAATGGATTTCTTTGGTGCATCAGTTTACAGCAGGTTTTAAGTCTCTGAATCATCATCTGAACCTTTCCCAGTTTCCCCACTTGTGAAGCGCAGCGCTTCTCCACCAGGATATGCTACTCCAGAGACAACGCCTACATCTCTTCTTGAGAAATTCTTTAGAGACACTTTCTAAACTCCCAGAAGTTACTCAGATCTGTTCTTCCATTTATTCTCGGAACCAAAATGTGAAGTCTTCTTCCCCAGCCAACGCCCTGACCAGAGCAGAGGGTCCGTGAGTCAGTGACCAGAGAAAATGGAGCTGTTAACACCACACAGTCCTCACCAAACGCTTCTGCCACCGGCTATGGAGGAGGCTGCCCCGGGGACCATCTGGGCCATGGAGTCACCTCAGGGACGAGGCCCGCTCCCCGCGCGCATGAGGCCCCC